TGACAATGGCAGGCTCTTGGGTGATAACCAAGGTACTCCTGAGGGGCAGAGGTCAGGGCAGAATGAGAGAGTGCAGGGAACACCTCTCTGGAGCCTGCACACACCGGGTGCACCCTCCCTGGAGCTATCGGGATCCTGAGAGGGAACGGGGAGGGGGTCTGCGTGCTTGAACGGTGGAAAGCAGGAGGTGCAGGGCTGAGTGGTGGGCACACCCACGAAATGGTCACCAGCTCAGGGCAGCAGGCAGAGGCTCAGGCTCAGCCGACACAGAAATGAGATGACACCGCACCTCATTTGCTGTGCAAACATCTGTGTAATTAGACACATTTGGTGCTGGCAGGGAGAAGCGGGCTACAACACGGGCTTGATGGATCGGGATGCTCCACCAGGCTCCAACCACATTCATCACGGAAGCCAGAGCCACGGGGCCATTTTCCTCACAGCTTTGTCCTGGTTCCCACCCGGGGCCCTGGGGGCGGAGGAGGTGAGGGCTTGGGCTTGCCGGAGCCCAGGGCCAGCCCTGAGGGTCTTGCTGTGTCCCCCACCCGGCCTGGCCAGAATCAACTGTCCTGAGGATAGTGTGGAGCTGCTGGAAGCCCACCCCGGCAGGACCAGGTAGGGATGGAGGGCTCTGGGAACACCATGCTGCTGCCCATCACTGGGGCTTAACCAGACTAGCCCCTCCTTGGCTGGGGAGGAGATCTGCATCCCAGAGCCTCATCTCCTTGCCCTCACAGAAGTAACTATCTTGCAGGGATGTCACATAAAAGTCACTGTGCCTCTCTGAGCCTCAATGTCTGCATCTGCAAGATGAAGCTTAATCCCCATCTCATAGAGCAATCAGGAAGATTCACCAGTACAATACACCAGGGCCCAGGGCCATGCCTGGCCTGCTGCAGACCCATGCAAATTATAAATATGCTTTACTGTATTCTACTGGTTGATGCCAGACTCCACAATGGGGCTCAGTGATCCCAAATAACCTGAATAACGCCCCCCAAGAACATCCACACCCTAATCCCTGGCATTTGTAAGTGTTTCCTTCTACGGCAAATGGGACTTTGGAGACAAGACTACTTTAAAGATCTTGAAATGGGAGCCACAAGTGGATTATCCCAATAGGCCCGAAAGGCAATGGCAGGTGTCCTTAGAAGAGAGAAGCAGGGGAGGAAACTCCCACAGACCAGGAAGAAGGCGAGGTGAGGACAGAGCAAGGGGGAAAAGGTGATGTGCGTGAAGATGGGGCTGTAAGCCAAGGAATGCAGGCAACCTCCAGAATCTAGAAATGCCAGAGTCTCTCCTGGAGCCTCCAGAAGGAACCAGCCCTGCCAACTCCTTGATTTTAAGCACCATTAGACTTATTTCAGACTTGCGACCTCCAGAACGATATGAGGATAAGTTTACATTGTTTTAAGCCATGAAATTTGTGGTAATTAGTTACAGCAGCCTTAGGAATCTCTTCAGGAATCCAACCAGTGAAAGAGCTGAGTAGGCCAGGAGGGACAAGGCTGTCCCTGCAGGCCTCTGGCTGGGCCACCCCTCCCTGCTGCATGCCAGCATCCACGGCCCCCTTTTCCAGGTGCTCTGCTCACACCCAACCCTCACTGCCCAGGGAAGGAAGCAGGCCCTACCCAGAGCTGGAGCATGGCAAAGCCTGGTGAAGACCCAGGCCCCTTCCCGGCTGAGGGCTCCCACCTGCACAGGGAAGGACAGCGCTGAGGGTCCCCCTTCTCAGCGGGGGCTCTGCCTGCAGCCAGCGCTCTCAAGCCAGAGCCTGCAGCTGCATTACCTGCAAAGCATGGCATACATAGACACAGGCCCCTTCCCCCGAGTCTCTGACTCAGTGGGACTGGGCTATGGCTTGAGGATCTGCATTACCCACAACAGACTCGCAGGGGACACTGCTGCTGCTTGGCTAGGGGTTCTAGGAGCGACTGGACTCGGGGCAGTGCCCTAACGAAGAGCTGAGGTGCTGTCAAGAAGCGCTCAGCTGGACTCGCCCGAGGGACCCGTGGTCCATACTTATGCTCCCACAAGAAAGGCCAGCACGCAGTGGAGGGCCTGAGCTCAGGGGGCTGGAACTTGATTTCTAACTTCCAAAGTGGGTGAGCCATAGGGTTAGTCATCTACCCACTCTGTGCTGCTTTGGCTCCTTCATTTGTAAAATGGAAAAACACAAAATGACTCTCTTTTGGGTTGCTGAGAAGATTAAATGGCATGAACACATAAAAGCGTTTATAGCAGGGCCTGTTCACAAGGTCAGTTATGATGAGGAATGGTGGTCATCAGTGTTGGGGTCTTCCTGCACTTCGGGTGGTGCCTCTACACGCTTCAGGTGGGTAGGGAGAGGTGAGTCAGGACATTCACCTGCAGGGGGAAGCAGTCCAGCCTGGACTCTCTCTGCACGAAGCTCTCAGCATTGCCCGGGTCTCCTGACCAACATCCTGTGCAGGAAGCACTTTGAGGCAGGCCTGCTCTGCCCGGGATCCGTGTCACCGAACCAGCCAAACATGACTCGTGAGCAAGAATCAGCAACAGCAACCCCCTCCCAAATAGGGACCGAGCTCCCTGGGTGCTCCTACGAGTCTCAGACGCCACCGACCGAGCAATTTTTGGGTGGCCCAACTAGTTCCAAACACAGGCACCTTCCAGAGGCTTCTCCGGCTGTGGTCTCAGTCACCTGCAGGTGGAGGCGCCCTGGAGGTGAGCAGAGGGTGGAAATCACCCCAACACCCACCGGGCAGACACAAGGCTGCTGTGGCGGATCCTAGTCAAGTGAGAACCAGGTATGTGCACTGAAATAAAACAAAAAGCTCCCAACATGTCAACAGGACACAGAGGACAACTGGAAAGGACTCCCAATGGCCAAATCTGGGACAATTGGAACAACATAATAAATAGTGATAATCATAGAGTATAAATAACCATGCATCCATCTGCATAACAATAGACAATCTAATATATAAAGAAATGTGGGAGGCGGGACAGCTTTTCCTTACCGGAGAATTCCAACCACTAAATGTGGCCAAAATGATAGAAACAGAAAATCGCCATTTGGCAAACACTAGTAATGACTGTTTCTGGCAAGAAGCATCGATGGATGTGTAAGTGAGTGGATGGAAATATGATAAGAAACAGGATATTTCCATATCCTCTAAGGATTACCCCACAAGATACTTCTTAATTACGAACGGGACAACTTTAAAGCGGAGAAGCCAGCAGACAGCCTCATAACCAAGTGATCAACGTTTCCAGCAATGAGAAGCCTGAAGATCACAGTCCTCCTGACAGGACGCCTGCAAAGGACACATATCACTTTTACAGTATTATTCCCAAAATGCATGATCCGAATGTCATCATGAAACAGCATCGATCAGGCAAACCCAAATCCAGAGACATCTTATATAGTAACTGGCCTGCACTCTTTAAAACTGCCAAGGTCATGAAAGACAAAAGAGACCAAGGAACCGTCCCAGACAGGAGATAATGAAGGAGTCTCGACAACCAAGTGCCACATGGGATCCATGACTGGGTCTCGAACTGGGTAAAAAGACACTAGCGGGCAACTGAGCAAATGTGGATAAGCTCTGCCGGTGAGTTAACTGCATTCTGTCCGTCTCGGGTTATGTAAGATGCCAACATTTGAGGAGCTGCATGAAGTGTATACAAGAAAGCCTTTATGGTTTTTGGAACTGTTTTTGTACGACCTTCATTATTTCAAAGTAAAACAATTTTTAAAAAGAAAGGAAAAGTCCCAGGTTTGCTCCGTCTTGGGGAGGCAGTGGGTGTCCTGAAACAGGACTCTGCTCAGGCACAATGCTGTGAGCACAGTGAGGGCCCAGCGAGTGTTGACTGACTTCACTGGGATGGGAGATGGTAGAGGCAGGAGGATGTGCCTTCACAGGTGGCGGGCGGGGAGAGGCTCTCTCTCCACTCAGCGAGTACTGGTTGTACACCTATTCATGTCAGCTGCTGAGACACAGAGCTGGGAGGAGAGTTCAGAGCCGGCTGGGAGGCAGGTGCAAAAATGGATGGTGATCCTGTGGATCCAGGGCAGCAGCCCCCACTCAGTGTGAAGGATCACAGTGCCCCTGAGGAGGTGACTCCTTAGTTGAGGCTTGGAGGTGGCCTGATAGGGGGAGGTTCCAGGCACATTGGGCAGGCAACCAGCCCCAGGCACAGACACACGGGACAGAACCACAGAAGCAGCTTGGCATGAACAGGTGAGGGGGCCGGAGGGTGTGGGCATGAAGATGCTGGGTTGAGAGGGGTCTTGGGGCTGGCTGACCTTCGCAAGAGCTATCCTGGAGGCAGGTATGGGGAACAGCGGAGATTTCGGGCGTAGGGAGAAGGAGGGGCCCTATTTCCTGGAAGGATAGCCAGGGACCAAGATTTTGAGTGCTAAAGGCCAAGAAAATGACACTAGCCAATGGGCTTAGAGGCCCCAGATGGGTATGACGGGGACAGGGCTAGGCAGGTGGAGACCACATGGTGACCCCACCCCTTCTACCTGGGGACCTCAAAGCTAGGAATAGGAGGGGCCCCAAAGCATCACTTGGAGCTTGTCCTTTTAAGTACGGTGACTATACAATTTACTAGTCAAAGGGGGAGACTTGACGAAGTGAAAAAGGGTGCTCTGAATTATTATGCTGGAACAACATATACCTAAGATCACTTTACTTATACAGGATCTTAGACCTAGAGAGGATTCCCACTTCGTGGATGAAAAAAGAGCTCCAAACCATGTGTAGATACACCAAGGAAGCCCAGAGCCTTAGAAATGGTGATGTGGGCTGGGGGTGGCTGGTGTTTATATGCTGCCCACCCACACGCTCACACAGGGTCCCAGGCCATGATGGCAAAGGTGATCGCCCGCTCAGGACAACGTAGATCAGGAACCCCCAAAAGAAAGACAGAGGCAGGAGATGTGGCTGAGGCTGTGGCCTCAGCCATGGCAGATGACTGCACGCCAGGAGCAGCAGGCAGAGGGCAGGACTTACCCATGCACACCGTGGACAGAATGAGGCTCGTAATGGTACCTTCCTTCCTGGTGTCGCATGTCAATCGGTAGGGGCGCATGGAAGGGTGGCAAGAGATGCTGCGGCACTGCAGAGGGGGAGAAAGAAACAAGACTTCAAAAACTTTTCCCCTCCCTCAAAAAGCTACTTTCAAAGGGCTTTAAAGCTCAATGAATTTCATAGCAAGAGCAGCCAGGACAAGGGGCTCCGTGGTGCCTGCGCGATCACACACCCACGAAGGGGGATGAATAAATAATCAAAGTCCGCCCGAGAATCCTACATCTTCCACATAAAAGATCCCCAACTGCGCTCTTGACAAAGACAAGCAGCTAAGCAGTCTTTGAACTCGGGGAGATTACAGGCAGGGCCACGAAACTGGGCTCAGCCCGCAAATCAGGGCTGACAGAGCGACAGGCTCCAACTCCGCCGGCTTCTGCCCATGCCGGCCCCGGCTGCGTGTGGCTCCAGCAGCACCAGGTTACGGCATCCGGATGTTGCAGTGCACACAGGCTGGAGGTATTTACCTAGAGTCATTTGTGAAGGCAGGGCCCACAGATGGTGCCGCCAGCCTCACGAAGGCCAAATCCCACCCAGCTTCTGTCCTGTTTTGCTGGCAGTATAAAGCGGACATCTATGTGGATCTGTTAGTTCTCCAGCTCTTAATATTAATTCTTGACCCCTAAACGCTGTCGGGTGCCCCCAGGATCGAAAACACCAGCACGTGTGTGTCAGTTTCCAGAGCTGAGTCAGCCTCCTGTCTGAACTTGGCCTGCCCTCAACAAATCATCACGATAATTGTAGGATGCTCTTTGTTTATTAAAAAAAAATTCCTGGGTACCCTGGAGGCAAACATAATTATAGGCTTTAGGAAAATACAGATTTTAACAAAGTAGTTATACTGGGAAAAGGTGGGGATTTCTTAGTCGACTCTCCTTCAATCTGAAGGCCACAGGCCAGTGGGAAGCAGGGTTAAGTTTGGATTTCTAATATTTTAAAGAAATGTGGATGGGTTTGTGATAGGTATGTACAGGTCAGCTGACTGCTAGGCTAAGAAATGCAGACAAAGTTTTAGGAGAGACGGGGTTTCATCATGTTGGCCAGGTTGGTCTCGAACTCCTGACCTCAGGTGATCCATATGCCTCGGCCTGCCAAAGTGCTGGGATTACAGGCAAAGAGCGAAACTTCATCTCAAAAAAACAAAAAAGAAATAAACAAACAAAAAACGCAGAAAAATAATGCTACTAACTGTTTCTGTGCAAACAGATTCTGGTACAATACCATAAATACTATGAATTCCTTTTTTTTTTTCTTGTAGTAAAGACACCTAAAATTTACCATTTAAACCTTTTCTTTTCTTTTTTTTGAGACGGAGTTTTGCTGTCTCCCAGGCGGAGTGCGGTGGCATAATCTCGGCTCACTGCCAGCTCCGCCTCCCGGGTTCACGCCATTCTCCTGCCTCAGCCTCCCGAGTAGATGGGACTACAGGCGCCCGCCACCATGCCCAGCTAATTTTTTTTGTGTTTTTTTTTTTAGTAGAGACGGGGTTTCACCATGTTAGCCAGGATGGTCTTGATCTCCTGAGCTCGTGATCTGCCCACCTTGGCCTCCCAAAGTGCTGGGATTACAAGGCATGAGCCACCACTCCCGGCCCATTTAAACCATTTTTTTACACGCACTGTTGAGTGGCATTAAGCACCTTCACATTGTTGTGCAATCATCACCACCATCCATCTCCACAACTGAAACTCTGCACCCACGAAACACTAACTCCCATTCCTCTCCCCGAGTCCCTATGCATCCACCATTCTTTCTCCTGCCTCTATGAATTTCCCATGCGAGCTATGTCATGCAAGAAGGATCACACAGTATTTGTCCTTTTGAGACTGGTTTATTTCACTTCACATAATGTCCTCAAGGTTCATCCATGTTACAGCCTGTGCCAGAATCTCCTTCCTTTTTAAGGCTGAATAATAATCTATTGTACTGGATAGACCACATTTTTTTGTCCACCCATCTGTCAATGGATGCTTGGGTTGAACACAATGGATTCTTAATGGGAAGACACTTTTCTCCTGAAATTTTAACTTTAATTTTTATATGTTCAACTCCATCTTCATAATTTCACAATACTGGCACTTTCCATGGGGACCAGGAAAAACAAAAGCAAATCTTCTCACCCTGATTCAGTTTGCCCAACTCAGACTCAAAGAGGAGTTGGTCACAGGCATGTGGTCCAAGCCTCTGGCCCAGCTATCACTTCCAGAGTCCCCGAGTGCTGGGAGGACCACGTTTTCTCTGAGGCCCTGGCCCCACACAGGTGAGCTGGGCACGTGGCTGTGATTAAGGCCGCTGTGACAGGACCACTAGGTGCTCTGGAGGCTGGGGACCCCGAGGGTCAGAGCTCACTCACCTGCTGCATGACTTTTGCAAGTTTCTTTGCCTCTCTGAGTCTCCATTTGTTCATCTGAAAATGGATAACAGTAACTACCTACATGGCTGCTGTGAAGATGTAAAAAGCCCACACAGAGGAGGTGCTTCGCCCAGAGCCTGTGCAGAGAGGACACACTCAACAAGTGTCACTGCTGAGGAGGACAAGTGGCACTCATGTTTGGAGCCTCCAAAGTCCATCATCAAACTATGAATTTACTTATGTGAGGCACAGGACAAGTGGCTCATACTGGGTGCAAACCCTAGGGAGGGTGGGGGGCCAAGCACTGCTTACTCACAAAGAGACCACTGGATCCCCAGGGAGCCAGCAGGGAATCAGTGACTGCTTTCCCAAATGTATAGAAAAGGGCCTTAAAAACATGGCAGGGCGGACCAAATTCCAGTATTTTGCTAACAAAATAAAAATGTGTGTGTGTGTGTGTGTGTGTGTGTGTGTGTATTTCTAAATGTTTCCTTGCACATCCAGAAGCCCCCTGATGCAACTAGTGTCACTACGCCCATTAAAGCGATGAGGACACGGAAGCCAAGAATGATTAATGGCCCTGCCTAAAGTCGCAGGACTGAAAAACGACAGTGCCAGGGGGAGAATCCAAGGCTCTGAATGGCTTTTCCCTCCACCCAGCCTAAATGACACTCAGAGGCAGCTCCCAAGCGCCAGGGTGATCCCAGTCCCCCATCGCCCCACCACGTCCCTACCTTGCTATGTACTTTAGTTAACAAATGCACACACAGTCCACAGCTCTGTTCTCCACACTTGGCAAATGCCAGCTCCTGGGTTTTCCCAGCAACCCCAGGAAGCTGCATTCAGCCCAGGATTCCTTGGTCTTCACACAGGCCATCCCCCAGCATCCTGGTGTGCCTACCATTTATGGTCTTGCTCATATAGAGGCTGAGCAGAGGGGTCTCCTAATGCCATCAGAGAACAGACCACCCCATCCTACTGCCAGCTATGAGCTGACATGCTCTGCTTAGGATTCAGGATTCAGGCAATTTCACCCAGGTCTATAAAGTCTGTGGAACACTGTGAGCTCCAGGGGTTTACCAGGCAAACATGAAGTAGAGGTACCACTGAGGCTGCCCCTCTGCCCCACAAGACCAAGCCGTGGGGTGTGTGTGTGTGTGTGTGTGTGTGTGTGTGTAAGTACGTGTGTGGGGTGTGTTTGCATATGTGTGTGGTATGTGTCTAAGTGTAGCGTGTGTGGTGTATGTATATGTGTGTGCTGTGCATGCATGTATGAGTACATGCAGTTGTGTGTATGTATGTAGTGTGTGGTGTGTCTCTGTTGTAGTATGTGTCTTTGTGTCTTTGTGTGTATGTGTATTGCTGTGTGTATGTGTATGTGTGTTGCTGTGTATGTGCATGTGATGTGTGTGTTGTTGTATGTGGATTTTATACACATTGCTGTGTATGTGTGCATATGTGTGCTGTGTGTGTGTTGCTGTGTGCATGTGCATGGATGTTATATGTGTATGTGTGTTGCTGTGTATGTATGCATGTGTATGCTGTATGTGTGTATGTTGTATGTGTTGCTGTGTGTACGTGCATGTTGCTGTGTATATATACATGTGTGTTGCCATATGTGCATATGCTGTGTGGTATGTGTGTGCTGCTGTGTGTGTATGTGTGTGTTGCATGTGTACATATGTGTTGCTGTGTATGTATGTGTTGTATGTGTATGTTGCTGTGTGTATGTGTGTGTTGTTGTCTGTATGTGTGCTGTTGTATGTGCGTGTTGCTGTGTGTGTGTGCTGTATGTGTATGTGTGTTGCTGTATGTGCATGTTGTGTGGGTTGGAGGAGGGGCCTGAGGCTTCCAGAAAGAGGCCTGGGGAGGGGTCCCACAGAGTCCTGTTACAGCGGGGGCTGCCCTCTGTTTTCTGGCAGCTCCCGGGGTGGAGGCTGTGGAGGTTACAGGGGAAGTGTTTTCTCTTTCTCCAGGCAGGCAGGGCTGCAGGCGGCACCTCCTACCAGCTCTGCTGCTCTCTAGGAGCTGGGTCACCTGTGGAATGTGCAGGCTGCACCGTGCACCCCTCTCTCACCCCTGGAATCCCCAGGAGGGGCCTGGGGACACGTGTTAGTGGGTCCTCCTGTCCTGGCGGTGATGTGTGAGGTTGGCCAGGGCAGAGTGGCAATGTGCCCACCAGGGTTGATGTTGCGGGTCCTCGTCTCCAGCAACGTCTACTGCCTCATGGGGCTTTGCTGACAGCACCTTTAGTTTTACCATTAACCTTGCTCTTATTCCCATTTTTCAGGAAAGAACATCAAGGCTCAGGGTGGTGTGACTTTACTTCCATATGAGCAATGATCCATCGGGCAGTAAGTGACTGGTGGTCTCATAGTCTTTTCCCCACACAGCCCAGCCCAGCACCCAGCATGCAGCAGGCCTTCAGTGAGCAGGGCCTCCGGCACTGCTATCCCAATACAGTAGCACGATGTTTGCCCCAGGATGGGATGCATAAGGTCAGCTAGTCGGGGAAGGTGCAAGGAGTAAGATCAGGGACCTGCCCAGATCCCTCTGCTCACCCTCAGAGAGAAAACCCCATCTATTCACATCAGCAGTTGTGAAGTATGAATAGCTGTCATCTAGAAATATTCATTCTCTCATTTATTTATGCATGCATGCCTCTACCTTGTATCAAG